ATATATATCGTCGTCGTCGGTTCCTTCTGTCTCGGGAGACAATGGCCGCGCTTTTACGTCACTCCTGTCGAGGACATCGTCTGGAGTGACTCAAAAGTCCAATTCGAGCATGACAGTCTCTGCCACACCCGTTGTAGATGAAGGCTGAAGGCGGGTTGAAAGCTCGATTTTGCTGTTCTCTTTTCTGCGGCTTCTTCGGTCTATTTCCTGCTCCTGTCTTGCCATTTCGCCGAGGCGTACTCCTTTACGTACGATGCTCTTCCATACTCCACGATCCGTAGCAAACGCTTCCCAGTGGTCTGCATCTATACTTGTTGTCTTCAGGTCACGCTTACAAACTTCTTTGTAGCGCAGTAATGGGCGTCCTAAGCGATGATGTCCTGCGGCCAGTTCGCCGTACAGACTGTCTTTCGGAATGCGTCCATCATTCATGCAATGTACGTGGCCGATCCATTGAAGCCTAAGGTGGCTGAGTAGGATGTGCAAGATGAGAGAACCAGCCTTTTTAAGGACAGATACATTTGTAACCATGTCCTCCCAAGTAATGCCCGGGATTCTGCGTTGACAACGGAGATGGGAACATTCTAGGCGTTTCTCCTGCTTGGCGTATATCGTCCAGGTTTCCCTGCCATAGAGAAGTGTGCTCATGACACACGCTTGGTAGATCCTAAGCTTTGTTTTCAGGGTCAGATTACTGTTGTTCCACACTTTCTTGTCAAGTTTCGACAGAACGGCTGCAGCTTTGGCTATGCGTGTGTCGATTTCTTTGTCCAGGGACATATTTCTTGTGACGATGGAGCCCAGGTAAACGAAGTGCTCTGTGTTTTCAAGCACTGCTCCATCAATACTGATTAATGGTGGTGTGGAAACATCCTGGCCCAGGACATTTGTCTTTGTAATACTTATTGTGAGTCCAAACTCTATTCAGGCTTTGGCAAAGTGGCTGATCAGCTGTTACAGCTTATCCTCGCTCCTGGTGTGTAGATGAACACCTTCAAAAGATTGCCTGAATGCAAAGTTCAGCAGGATGGAGAAGATAATGCCGAACAAAGTCGTTGCAAGGACACATCCTTGCTTGACACCGCTTTTGATGTCAAAGGGTTCAGAGCTTTCTCTATTATAGCTGACAACACCCTTCATATTGTTGTGAAAGGAGGCTGTAATGTTAAGCAGGTGCGGGAGGCACCCAATCTTTTCGAGTAAATGGAATGATCCTTTTCTGCTTACCAGGTCGAATGCCTCAGTAAGATCAATGAAGACGAGGTACAGTGGCATCTACTGTTCTCGGCATTTCTCTTGCAGCTGACCTACTGAGAATATCAAGTCAACTATTGACCTTTCTGCACGGAATCCGTATTGGGACTCTGGGTAGACGCACGTACCAAGAGCTTGCAGTCGAGCTAGTACGCCTTTACCAAAGGTCTTGCCCACGATACTCAGTAGGGAGATGCTCCTTTAATTATTGCAGTCGGTGCGATCTCCTTTATTCTTATATATAAAGTGATTATTTTCGCACTACGCATTTCCTGGGGAACCATCCCTTCGAGCCAATAGAGACATAAGAGGTTATGAAGAGAACTAAGTAAAGCTGGTTTGCAGGACTTGGTGATTTTGGGTGGATTGCAATCTTCACCTGTTCTTACCATTGGCAATGTCATCAATTGCTTTGCTGACCTCATTCAAGGTGGGCTCAGTGTCTAGTTCATCCATTACTGATAAGCTTTCTATACTGTCTAGCGGTTCTTGTGAGACTACGTTCTACAATTCAAGGTAACGTTCAACCCACCGACACAATTTTTTTTACCTGTCTGTGATGGGCTCTCACGATTTGGACTTCAGTGGCACAGTCGTCTTGCGTGTTTTTCCTGTTGCATGCTCGATACCCTCATACATTGTTCTGATACTTCTTGAAGCCCTTTCTATGTTGTCTGACAGTTCGAGCCAATAGTTGTTTGCGCCACGTCATGCTTTTTGTTGGGCTTTATTACGAGCAGATCTCAGTACTTGGAAGTTTTGAGGGCTATATTTATATTTATATTTATATATGGTCGCTTTTAAGGACAAGCGGGCTAATCCAGATTTCGGGGGTTTCCAGAAATCATGACCTACATCAAAAGTGGACATTGCCCTGGCTATAGGAGAAGTTTGGTTTCATTGGTTTGTATATTTTTTGGTTATAGAGAAAACTCTCCTTGTCCTTTAAAAAAAATGAACAAGAGGCAAAACTTTATTTTGAATTTTCTCAAAACAACATTTTTCGGGATAGCCCCCTTGTGTTTTAAAGTGGCCATATATATA